TTCTCATTTTTATGAAGTAAAATTTGCATGCTAAAATTTCTTAACTTTAAAAACAGAGTTACACTTAAGATTTAAGACTTATTTACATAGTTTAATTATGACTACTCAGGTTGCTGTCACAAAAACCCAGCCAATACCACTGCTACTCCAGGAGATCAAAAGACTGGTACTACATAAGACAAATCTTCACATACTCTGGGGCAGAGAAGCAAGAAACAAAGAGAATGGTAAATTAAGAGATTATCTTAAATTATAGAAATTCTATAAACTTGGAACATTTTTATAATTCATTGAAGTAAAAAAAAAAACAGCTGTTTTAATTTAAAACTCTGGTATATTGTGACTGCAAAGAGAACTACGGGCAAGTAGTTATGAAGAGACAAGCTCTCCATGTGTACACACATCATTTCATACACAGACACACCTCAAGTTGATTAGTCTGTTATTATATACTCCCCTTTATTAAGGGGAAAACTCTATAATCCCCCTTATAAAATTATTCCATATAGAACCCAACTTCTGCTTTCGTCCTATTTAGAACCATGCTAAGAGTGACAAGGGAACAAGAGCAAGTGACATGTCCTCACATGTTGAGCTCCTAAGAGCCCTGTTAGGGTGGAGGTGTAACTTCTGAAAATGCTCATTGTGCAGGGTAAAAATTCAACTCAGAAAGTAACAAAGTTCCAAAAGGTCTGTTTCCTGATGACTCTTATTTATCCATAGTTAAAAGTCATTCTTCTAAACGGACTGTCTTTTATTTATAAGCTAATAATGGTTTCTCTGTTACATATAATTCATTTCTTGTGGTATATATATGATATGTATCATATCATATATATTATATCTATCACATATATCAGATCATATATATATCTACAGAGGATGAAGGACAATTCTGCAAGTACTCATGGAGCAAGCATTATGTCCTATTTCCTGCTATTTTTATTTTGCAGTTTTTTACTATGGCTGCGATTTTCAAAGTATTCTACAACTTTATCCAACCCATAAAACAAATACACAAAAGATTTAATCACTTAAGAATTTTGTGCTGGGGCAGGAGAGATGGCTCAGTGGTTAACAGCACTGGCTGCTCTTGCAAAAGACTGGGGTCTGATTCCCAGCACCCACGTGGCAGTTAACAACTGTCCATAAACTCCAGTTCCAGGGGATCTGAAGCCCTCTTCTTTCCTCTGCAGGCCTTGCATGACACGGTGCACTTACATGCAGGCAATACACTCATGCACATAAAAATAATAAATAAAAATTTTAAAAAGTTTTATGCCGTAGAAATGACTATACATTTTTTTCCACAATTAAAAGTAGCAAAGAACATTACTTCAGCAAATTTCATGTCCTATTAGATGGAAAAGCTTACCAGGTTCATTTCCTGAGTCAATTCAGAAAGAATTGTTACTCCTATTATGCAGTGTTCCATAGTACCCTTTGGAGAAAAGAACCAAGTTTATCATAAGTGAAGACATGTAATTGGTTCTTGGTGTATAAACAGGTGATACTTTTTTTTTAAAAAAATCCCCAAAACACTGCATTTACCCTGTAATGTTTTTAAAAATGTATAGAAAAAAAATACTATGATTTCTACAACTAAAGGAATTTCAGCACCACTTTTTGAATGAAAATTTTGGGTACACATAGTTTAGGGGAAAATGTTCATTTACCTTAGCACTTGAAGGTACTCTATGTTTCCAGCATTTAGGGAGTCAAACATAATAAATTAAGCACCGAAATATAACAGTTTAGTTTAGTTCTTTTACTAAGACCTTAAGAATGAAAAAAAAATTTTTTTTGCTCTAGAAATGTGCCTGAGGTCTACTATGAAAGATGCATTTATTAATGAGCAGCTTTGATAAGATACCAGATAAGATCATGGCTCTTTTAGAATTGTGGAAGAAGTTCTTCAGTTTAATTGGAAGTTAAGTGGTATACAGTTTCCACAATGTTTTTACTTAGCTTCCAATTAAATTAAAGAACTTCCTTCAATTCAGATTTCATGTGCATATTACTAACAAATTACTCTTATTACAAAATCACATTGAATGCATAGAAATAAGAAACGGAGCATCAAATTATAGTGCGGTAATGCAAAAACATGCACAGATATATTCTTTAAATCTCCATTTTACAGCTAGTCAGCCCCTCTAACTCTCACAGAAATTCAGAAGCATTGATTACTAGATATAGTTAAGTTCACATTATCTCAGAACCACCAGAAAAAAACAATGGAAGAATCACAGAATTTCTACATTTAATACCTTATGGACTTCTTAACTCCCTATTCACTGAAGTGTATATTAGGTCACTAATGTTTCATAGTATGGCTCCTTGACCAACTGCTGGTCCATGAACTCATTGGCAGTCTGATATGAAAATGGTTTGGTACTGGTCCATAGAAAATAAAGTGTGTGTACTGCAATATAACACAGCTAAGTTGCTAAGTACACTATTTAGTTCACCTGTCAAATCTTTTCATTTACAATCTGACATAACCCTCTTATCTTGTCGGAGAATAGCAATTTGAATACACTATCCTAGATGACAATCTCTTGGGTATGTATATAAAAAGGAGGCACATAAATATGCTGGGGTGTAGTGCCAGTAAGCCTACAATACAGACAAAAGAAGATGCTCAAAAATCAAGCCCTTAACTGATAACAAACTTAAAACAATCAGGGCAAAATTCAAAGAAGCAGTAAATTTCCAAAGAAACCAGGTGGTACTATTTTAAAGTACTAAATAAAATATTAATGTCAACTCTCTTTCCACTGAATCCAGGTTAAGTCATATATTCAGAGAACAATTAGTAAACTTCCTGTGATATGATAGTAAACCCTCAAGATAAAACATTTTCTGTTTTTTCTGGTCTTCTAAAATTCCTAAAAATAGAGTAAAGCCCAACTTTAAGCTGAACTTGGCAGCCAGTAAAGTGGGAACTGAATAAATAAGAATGATTTTTATCTTTATTGTTTGCCAATAAGAATGATTTCATTTGATTCTGTCTTCAACCTTGATTTTATTATAAAAGTATTCCAAATATATCCTTGCCTACGAGAATGATTCTTAATAAATAATCTTAGAAAATAATAAGAGGAGGATGTTACTATATTAGCTAAATTACAAATGAGCTTCTCATTTTAGAATGAATAAACTATCCTCTGCCTCAATTCATATGGCTCTCCTCAGTCCTAAGAAATTACTTATTTGAGCTGGAGAGATGGCTGGGCTGAGTGGTTAAGAGCACTGGCTGTTCTTGCAGACCAGGGTTCAAATCCCAGCACCCACATGGCAGTTAACAACTGTCTGTAAATCCAGTTCCAGAGGATCTGACGCCATCTTCTGTCTTCCACAGGCACTGCACAACATGGGTACAGTTACATACATGCAGGCATAACACTTATACATGTAAAATAAAAACAAAAAGAAAAGAAAAAGAAAGTTCTTAATTCCTATATATTAGAGATGATCAAATATTTGGGTCTTAACAACATAATTAAAAGACAAGCTATGTATTTCATATTCTAGGAATTACACCTTATATAGGAATCAAATTTTAAAGTTACAGAATGAGAAATACAATCTCAGAGAACTCAAACTGGTTATCTCTGAAACTAGCAAAGCTATCAAATTTTCTAAGTGTTTTAAGAGATCACTAACTTTTTAAAATGTGTGTGTATGATGTGAGTGTACATGTGTGAGTTTGTTCATGTGAATGGGTGGGTGTATGAGGAGGACTGAAGACAACCTTTAGATGGCAGCTTTGCCTTTTTACCTCGTTTGAAACAGGGTATCTTTTTATTATCGCATAAGCCAGACTAGCTGGCCAGAGAGCTTCTAGAGATTCTCCCATCTTTGCCTCCCAACTCCCCTTAGGGATGTGCTGGGACTATAGAGGCTTGGGTTCCTGCAACTGGCTCTTATGTGGGTTCTGAACATCAAAACTCAGGTCATCCGGCTTTGTGAGGCAAGTGCTTTTACCAACTTAACCATCTCCCTAGCCCAATATCCCTAACTCTTAAACTAGATATCAGTAACTTCCTTGTAGTTAAGGATTATACTAGTATGAAAAAATATGCATCACTAAATACCTAATTTATCCTAAGAAAGGTATATAAGGCCTAAGAATAGATTCACGATTCTTATATAATCTCAAGGCCCACAATCACTGTAAGGAATAGTAAATGGAACCACAGGCACAATTTAGTGCCTTTGGTAGCTTTTATTTCTTTTCTGCAGTCCAAATATCTGAATTGGTATAAATTAAGTATTAAATGTGACTATGCTATGAGCCTAATGATTTAATTTAAAACATTCTTCAGACAAAGGTTAGAGTCAATGTAGTATGAGATATATATTTTTTTTTTTCTTTTTTTGAAAGAGTCTCCCTGTCACCCCAGCTGGCCAGGAACTCACTATATAGACTGGGCTAGCCTCAACTGAAGAAATCCACCTGCCTCTGCCTCCTGAATGTTGGGACCAAAGACATGCACCACCACACCCGGCAGTATAAAAATTTTTTAAAAGCTGTCAGAAGACTTGCTGAAGTGCTAATTCTATGCTTTACTAAATCACTATATCCTTATGTAAGCTACTGAAATAAATCATAGTTTTCTCATTTATAAAATGAAACTTCCTAGGATTGTTATGAGAATGAGGTAATATATCAATAGCAGTTTATGTGTATGTGTCTTTGTATATATATGAGACATATATGTCATGTAGATATGTAGGATATATGTCATAAATATGTACATTTTTAAAATCAGAAACTATGATTATCTGTGTTCTTCTAGTACAGAAGTAAAATATAACAGCATGCCTTTCATTAACTGACAATAAATAATCAAGGATCCAAAGGACAAATAATAAGTGATAATATAAAATTGGTACTATAAAACGCACAGTATAGCTCTAAGGAAAGCAGTATTCTAACCAAAAAAAATAAAAGCAAGTAGTGAAAATCTAGTAATGTAGTAATGCCTTCTTACCTGAAGGAATTTCTTCACATCAGCAATAATTTCTCTGAAGACAAATTCATCTTTCTGAATCTCAAACCACCCCAACTTAGTGAGTTTAGCAATGACATGAATAAGAGCTTGGATGACAAAGGGAGCCAGCTTAGGTTGTGATGCCACATAATTCAGAATGTAGTTTCCTATGAAGAAAATACACTGTGGTCACTTGGACTCTTGAGAAAAATGTGAATTGTGTGAAGAAAAAGGAGACAATGGCAAGCTCCTGAAGAGGGGGAGCCCCATCTCCAAGCGCTCACTGTATACTCATCTATAAAGTTTATGTGAAAAAGTGAATTTGCTCCATTATATTTTGAAAAATCTTGGAGTAACCTGTGTATAAAATGAATGTCACTTTTCTATCTGGAGATTTCACCAATAAAAAACTAACAGGCAAATGCCAAAAACTGCAACGAGAACAATGAGCCAAAAATATAAGTAATACAATATGATAAAATATATAAATGCATATACTGTTTATCTACTAACTACTATATTTCATCTCCTGTGTTTCCAGTCACACCCATTCTTACCTGATGCTATAATTTTCCATCCTATAACACTTGATAATCTTCCTTCCCTCACTTCCCAGTAACACACAAACTGCAATTTTAATGAAGAATGTTTTTCAAGACAAAAGTGCTACATTTGTTGTACTACTTGGGTGTTTCTTAATCATTTAACTTAAAACTGTACCACTCAATTACTAGAATTCTATCTTTAAAAAAAAATCTCTCACAAAGTTTATTTTGTTTCCATAACCTCATTTCTCTCATAAATCCTGTGTAACATTTTATAGCAAGTCACTTTTAGGAACACATACATCAGGTTATAGGAAAAAATGCATGTGGGCTGGGGACATGACTCAGTGGTAGAGTGCTTGCCTTGTATGCAGGAGGTTGTGAGCTTAATCCTCAATGCCCTGAAAATATAAATAAATAAATAAATAAATAGATAAATAAATAGATAAATAAATAAATAAACGAATAAATGAATAAATAAATGCTTTTATAGTTAGGTTATGTGGCTATAACTATTTCTAAGGGCCTGACTGTACCCTATCTTAGTTAAATGACATAAAAAATAGGTCGCACCCAATATGATAAAAAATATAAAGTTAAAAAAGCATCAGGGCTGGAGAGCTATCTCAACAGTTAAGAGGGCTTATTGCTCTTCCAGAGTACCTGAGTTCGGTTCCCATCACCCACATTGGGCAACTCACAACTTCCTATAACTCCAGCTCCAGGAGGATCCAATACCTCTGGCCTCTGTAGGTACCTGTATTCAAATGCACATGCCCTCACACAGATATACAGATAATTAAAAATAATAAAAATAAATCTTAAAAAAAGCATGAAGTACAATGTTTGCCAAAAAGTTAATATAGGAAAATCAATTATGAGCAACTAAACCAAAAATGCTTTGAAGAAAACAAACTCCAAATCCAAGAACACTTTAAGACATGAGCTATCACAAATGCTTAAGAGTAGTTTATGATCTGGTGTGGGTGAGACACAAGGTACAAAAGAAATCATAAAATGATCAAGAATTATGAGGTGGAGGGCTGAGGAGATGGCTCAATTAGTATATGCAAAAAAAGAAAAACAAGGAATTACAAGGTGGGAATGTAGGAAAATTAAAACCTTTATACACTATTGTTAAGACGACAGGCACTTGGGAAAAGAGTTGGGAACTTAAGGCCTAGGGAACAATGGCAGAAGATGGGGCAGAAAGATCATCAAAGCCAAAAGATGAAGATGTCTGTTGCTATGGTGTCTTCTAGACATGACAGGGAAGCTGAGCCCATGAAATCTCAACAATATAGTTATCTAAACAAGACAACACCGAAATAATACCAGCTGACATGCCAATGTAGATAGGAGAAATTTCATAAGGTCCCACCCCTAGACGAAGAGCTATAATCAGTGGTTGATGAAAGGAGAATCTACTTTCTCCAGGAATGAGCTCCCTGATAGGTTATCCTAAGTGATCAACACTAAATACATGTACATACAATGTATAAGCAATGCTAAATAGACTCAATAGGTTGTATATACTAGACACACACACACACACACACACACACACACAGACACACACACAAAATACTAATTAAAGAAAAAGAAGTCTGCATGACACAGGCTCACTCGCACACATGCAGGCAATACGCTCATACACAAAAAATAAAAATACTAAATAAAATGTTTTTTTTAAAAAGTGTTTTTTTTTTAAAGAAAAAGAAAAAGAAGTCATATGCCAGTTGTGGTGGCATGTACCTCTAATCCCAGCCCTCAGGAGGCAGAGGCAGGTAGACCTTTATGAGAGCCAGGCCCCCCTGGTTCACATCATGACTTCCAGGTTAGCTGTGACTAGGGAGACCCTGTCAAAAACAATCAACAAAAAGACCAAAACAAAGGAAAGAAAAAAGAAAAAGAAGTCATGAACTTGAGAAGGAGGCAAGGGAAGAGTGAAAGAGGGAGAGGAGGTAGAGTAGAAATGATGTAAATACAGTACTTGTGTATGAAATTCTCAAAAACAAAAACTCAAATTTGAAAAGTTAACACAAACTTTTCTTATAACTCAGTAATTTCACTCCTAGGCTTCAACACAGAAAAGTGAAAAACACTGGACAATGTAAAGTCTTGTATGTTAACGTTCATAGAATTATTCATGGTGACTCAAAACTAAAACTGAAATGGCTGAGATATTCATCAACTAGAGGTAAATAGATCTTTTAAAGAACTGTATATATACAAAGGAATATAATAAAAAAGGAATGAAACACTGATGCTACAAAATGATGAAACTCAAAAACATTTTGCTAAGCGAAAGATAGCACATGAGAGACTATATGTGGTATGATTTATATGAACTGTCCAAAAAAAAGTTAATCTGTAAGAAGCAGAAAGTACACAAGAGACTGAGGGCATAGAGACAGTCATTTGGTCTGGAAACACCCTTACAGATGTACCCAAAAGTGTGCTTCACCAATCTTTTGTTTTTTATTTAAAAAATTTTTATTTATGGGCTGGTGAAATGGCTCAGCGGTTAAGAACATTGACTGCTCTTGCAGAGGACCCAGGTTCGATTCCCAGCACCCACATGGTGGCTACTAACCATCCTTAACTCCAGTTCCAGGGGAATCCAAAGCCCTCTTCTGACCTCTGCAGCATTGCATGATACGGGTGCACTTATATACATGCAGGCAATACACTCACACACATAAAATAAAAATAATAAAATATTTCTTTAAAAATTTTTACTTATTTGGACTTTATGTGTATATGTTTTTTGTCTGCACATATGTAAGTGCCCCACATGCATATGGAATCTAAAAATAAGCATGAGATCATTCTAGGGTGATGAGAACATTTTAATGCCAAATTGTGAGATAGTCTGTACTATTGCAAATTCATTAGTAATCACTGAACACATTCTACAGGGTCTCCCTGTAGCCCCAGCTGACCTTGAGGTCTAAAAAATTATAGAATATCTACATTCTTCATTTTAAAAGTTTCCATTTAAAAAATGTAAGTCAAATAGACAATCTGCATGTTTATATTTTAAAGAAATGTGTTCAGTGATTACTAATTAAAATGAATGATCTTCATTATCAACTTGACTGGATTTAGAATCACCTAGAAGAATAGTGAACCACGTGGTTGTTTATAAGCATCTATAACTCCACTTACAGAGGAATATGACATCCTCTTCTGGCCTCTGTGAACATTACACATACATGTGGGGTGCTTACATACATGCAGACAAAACACATATACACATAAAATCCAAATAAATACAATATTTTTTAATTAAAAACAAAAGATTGTACTACCAATTTGGAAGACAGCTCGGTGGTAACTTAAAAATGAAACACATCATCAGGCATGGTGGTGTAAGCTTTTAATCCCAGCATTCAGGAGGCAGAGACAGAGGTAGAAGCAGGTGGATCTCACCAGACTTATCTATATAGGCCAGCTGGAGTTACAGGAAGATCCTATCTCAAAGAAAAAAAAAATTCAACATACAGTCCAGCAATTATCTTCTTTGGTATTTACCCAAAGGAACTGGAAGCATGTCCACAAAATCTGCAAAATCTCCATATGGATGTCTAGAGCAATTTCCTTTACAATGTGTCAAAACTTGCAAGCAACCAAAACATTCTTCAGTAGGTAAATGGATAATTTGTGGTATAGTCAGAAAATGAAGTATAATTATTCAGAACTAAAGAGAAATAAGGTTATCGAGGCATAAAATGTCATGGAGGAACCTTATTAAAGATAATAGAGGAAAGTCTGAGAAGACTATATATATATAATTCTAACTTTAACATTCTGGAAAAGGAAAAACTGGAGAAAATTAAAAGATCAGGGTTTGGGTACAAGAGGGATGAAAAGGCAGAGCACACAGGATTTTCAGGGCAGTGAAATATTTCATATAATACCATAATAGCAGACACATGCCATTAGACTTTTTCAAAATCCAAGAACACACCAAACCAAGAATGTGAACTTTAATGTGAATTAGACTTTGGATAATAATGTGTCAGTGTAGGCTTCTCAATTATAACATGGAATATTATGGTGCAGGATGTTGATAGCAGAGTTGTCTATCCATGTATGGAGGCAGAAATACATGGGAACTCTCTAGTTTCTATTCAGTTTTGTTAAAAATTAAAAAGAATGGGGCTAGAGGGATGGCACAGGGGTTAGGAGCACTGACTGCTCTTGCAGAGGACCCGGGTTTGATTCCCATCACCCACATGTTGGCTACGAACCGTCCTTATCTCCAGTTCCAGGGGAATCCGACACCCTCTTCTGACCTCCACAGCATTGCACAACACAGGTGCACTCACATACATGAAGGCAAAACACTCATACACATAAAAATAAAATATTTTTTAAATCCTAAAAAAGTCTAAAATATGTGCAAAAGTCAAACAAAATCATAAGTTTTATGACTCAGGTGTACACACATTTATGTTACAAATTTATCTCATTTGCTTTCCTAAGCATGGAACTCACTAAGTGCATAAATAAATCTTCTGTGTCTTCTGAAGACTTAAAAGTTTTAGGAGCCAGCAGTCAAATGAGGCAGACTGCCCAGTATTGTATGGTTCTGCAGATTCACATTTGATCTTAAAGATCTGCAACACATCAGACATTTTCATTTTCTAATATAGAAACATAAACTATGAGAACTTTGAGTCTAAAGAACAGAAATAGGATAATAATCTATTTATATTACAAAGAAAAAAGATTCTATTACCTCAAGTATTGAGTTTTTCCATATGGAATGAAAAATTACACACATATAAAAACATAAAGTACATTATTCCTCCAAAATATAATGCTACTCTACAGAATCAATATTCCAACTCTAAGGAGGAGTCTGCTTTGGATTTTAAATGCACCTCAATTGATTCTGATGTAGCAAGCTGAGAGAGACTGTGGTGTTGATTTCTCTCCTAGCATTTAGCTGCATATCAACTTAAAATAATGGCTACGAGCTGGGCTCTACGTGGCTGTAGTGAGTTTGGTTGGCAATTCCATTTCTTAGCTGTGTGATCCTGAGCAGATCAGAGATCATATCCAATTTACTCATGTGTAAAATGAGGAAAAGTCATTAATTTTACTTGGAGGATAAAATATAACGAAAATCATTGCAAATATTACACATATTTTATAATTTATTATTAAATTAACAAAATTTGTATATATTGCTTTATCTACCACATCATTATCATCGCATGAGACCTAACTACTCATCTTAAAAAAATAACAAAATTAAACTTCAAGCCTAATAACAGATTAGCAAATTTAAAAGAAAAGGTTTATTTTTAAAAAATGCAATCTGGTAAAAGTATTAGTAAGTCACTTACTGATATCTATCCTCTGTTCAATAGGTAAAGGATTTATTCTGGTAACAAGTTTTGAAAGACAGGTTGCTGCAAGGAGCTGAGCATAGGGTGTCTGTAAAGAACAATAATTTTTATTATCACAAAAATCAGAATAGTCAAAATATAATGTTATTTTTTCTAAACAAAAATAGGAATTTTTCTAGTGTTCCAAAATGACATATTTCTAATGAATATATATAATACATACATATTTGAGCTACACATATGCAGATGTGTGCATAAGCACAAGTAGACACACATGCATATAATTTCTCATAAAGGATCATTAGTTGAAAGAGGTGTACAAAGCCATCTCAACTACAGCAAGGAAAAACGACTGTGAACAGGTTCCAATAAAATGCTCTTACCATAGTCTACAGAGGTCTGCACAATCTGGTCTCATTAAATTGTCAAATTCACCTGGTCCACACTTCAGACGTAAAGCTGAAGGGACATAAAATCATGTTGGAGAAGGTACTGAAGCATTCTGAAGTGTGGACCAGGTGAAAGGATTTTTTTTTTAAATTTTTAACGTGTCTGTATGCCTATGTGAGTTTATGTGCATCATATGTATTCAGGTATCCATGGGGGCCAGAGGGCATCAGATCCCCTGGAACTGGAGTTGCAGGTAGTTGTGAAGTACCTGATGTGGGTGCTGGGAACTGAACTCAGCAAGTACTCTTAGCCACCAGCCAACTCTGTAGCCCCACCACCAATTTTCTTAACAGTGTATTCAAAATCTATAAATACATGGTCTGTCCTTCAAATTTTAGTTTTTTATTCATTCCACTGCTATGAATTTCTTGCCAAAATTGTCTGTTTTTTTCTGTAGAAAGCCCCCCTCCAAAAGATCCATGAACCAAATCCTATCTTTGCATAGCCTGTGAGCTAAAAATGGTTTTCAGTTTTAAACAGTCGAAAACAATTTTTATAATAATATTTTTTAATATGTAAAAATCCATGAAATCTAAATGTCAGTGTCCAAGTTTACAGAACAGCCTGGCCCGTCCCGTTTTGCTAGTCTCAAATGATCTCATGCTACAAAGGCGGATCTCAATAGTTAAGACTGACCATCTGAGTGCTCAAATCCTACTGCTGCTCAGTGCACTGCAAACTGCAGTGATGTAACTCCACAGTATCTAGTGTCAGGGGAACTGAACTGACATGATTGTACCTTTCATATCAGTACATATCCCCATGTCAAAAGGAGAAAAGATAAAAGTGGACCTTAAATATCTAACTTTCAAGGTACAGTATTAATTTAGATGGCAATGTGCTTTCATGTTTTTGTCAATGGTGCTATACTTTTGTCAATGGTGCTATAACTACACAATATATATTTCCATTCGTTAAGGAAACTACTTACTAATGATGAGTTAATTAAATCACCACTGTTTTATTGCAGCAGCTAAAGTTATATGTAGAGAAAACATACTTTGCTCATCCTTCAGTGAGAACAAAGGCTCAAAGAGTTGAGGACACTAGAGCAACATCAAAAGTCAAAGATTATGGTTAGCTTTCAATGAATGGGTGTATGTTACTAATACCTGTTCATGTTGTTAATGGCTACAGCACTTGCCATCTATTTATTCTGTAAGTCAAGGCTGACTGGGAAGCAACTAAAGAATTACTACTTTATGGTATGAGTCTGTAGAACTACAGGTCAGAATATTTACAAAAATGTTAAGGAAACATTAATTACACATAACCTTAGGTAGACTGTGTTACTGAAGGAAACATTAATTACACATAACCTTAGGTAGACTCTGTTACTGAAGGAAACATTAATTACACATAACCTTAGGTAGACTCTGTTACTGAAGGAAACATTAATTACACATAACCTTAGGTAGACTGAAAACTTGAAAAAAAAAAAAGAAGAGGGAGGGAAGAAAGGGGAGGGGAGGGGAGGGGAGGGGCAGGAGGAGGAGGAGAAAGTTTGAAGACTGTGATCACTCATTTCATTATTAGAATTTTAATATTTTATTTTCATTTTATGTATATGTAATTGCATCATGTGAGTGTAATGCCTGTGGAGGCCAGAAGAAAGCATAGGATCCCCTGTTGAGTTGTCAACAGTTAAAAGCAGTCAGTGCTCTTAAGCAACAGAGCCATCTCTCAGCCCTATTATTAGCATCTATTCTGTAGTGAATTATCTGAATGTCAGATCTTAATGAACCTAGGGTACTAACAATGAACTTCATTTACTTTTGTGAGCTTATCTTCTATTCTGCAAATTTCTGTCAGGTATAGATGCTGAATATCCTGACTTGCCCCAGACAAAGTAGTATAATAGCTTAAGAGTGAAGTTGTATGGCAATTTTTTTAGCTCAAGGCTAAGAATAAAAATTTGTAGATAAGACAAAGTCTTTATTTTTCAACATTAAATGGCTTTAGAAATTACTTTATACTACAAACTTGTTATCTCTTGATGAACTTAACCTAAAATTGCCTGCAATGTAAAGATTATAATACTAGCACAGAGAATGGCATAGCAATGACTAACAATGAAGAAAAGTCACTTCAACAACACTGTGTAGATCACAAGTGTCAAGCAACCTCACACATTTCCTGCACTGTTGTTGAAGCTGAAACAAGTTGTACCTTCTAATCTCCATCTCTAACTCAAGAACTGATAGCCCTGTTTGGCCACTGAGGCAAGTATTAAAAAATTTCCATATTTTAAAATCCATTTTTGCTGTGCAGTTGAGGACCTTCTACTTAATCTTTGATTAGAAATGTTAATTTACAATATAATGACATGCTAAAAGTATCAAGAGAAGATTTGATAGACTCACAGAAATGCCTTCTAAGTGATAAATCCACTTAATTAAAATTATACACTCATTGACTGACACTAGTATTTAGTGACACCTAGGTTTTGCGAAAAGATATTTTAAAAGATGATATCTATAAGATTTTAGCCAGACATAGTGGCACAAGCCTTTAATCCCAGCACTTGGGAGGCAGAGGCAGGTGGATCTCTACGAGATGGAGGCCAGCTTGGCTTTACATAGTGAGTTCCAGGTCAGCTGTGGCTACAGGGAGACTTTGTCTCAAGAAACAAAAACAAATACAAAAACAAAAAAATATAAGGTTTTATTCCATACCTGCATGAATGTATTGAACATCTGCCATCAATGCTGATAACAGGAAACACCAACTCTGAATTACAATTAATCAAGAACTGTTTTATTTTTTCATTAGTAGACCAGTGTAACAACAACAACAACAACAACAAAAAATCAATGATTATATTTTGAATTTTTCCAATAAAACTTTGTGAACATCTGTTTTCTCTTATTGCAGATATATTTAGGCAGTATCAATTTTGCCTCTTGGCCCATAAAGCCTAAAATGCTTACTATGTGGCCCATTACAGAAAAATATTGCCAGCTCTGCTCTCCATCGGTCTCTTACACTGGTGCTTTCCATATACTTCCTATCTCTTTATATATCCATGCACCTAGGCCAAGTAAACAGACTCAATTGCATATCTCAGTATTTGCTGGTTGCTGAGTGAAAAGCAAGGAATACCCAGAGTGTAGGAAGGGAAGAAGGAGACAGCAGACTTTCTTTCATTTTCCAAAGTTAATTACAATCTGCTGATACCACTCAGATTTAAAAAAAAAAAAAAACTTGTTTCTAAAATGTAATTTTTAGGACTGGAGATATAACTCATGGTAGAGAGCTTGCCTACCATGTACACAGTTTGAGATTCATTTCCCAGCACCACAAAAATAAATTAAACACATAACATGTGAGACATAAAAGCAGGCCAAGAAGAACCAAGAATCTATTTCACTTCATTCCTATTTCTATCCTGTGGCTATTCCCTCTGTTTGCTTCCCTGGCTTTCCAGTTCTTTCCTGCTTAATCTCCTGGATGGTAATCACAACAAAAAGACATGGCAAAATCTTGAGTACCCTGCTAACACAGGGCTGTCATCATTCACACTGGCTGCCTGGTTAATTACTGTTATCACATACTTACTGTTCCTTGTTCCAATAAAAGTTGACACTTGCTGAGACATTCTGGGCTGTCAATAAGTTCCAAGAGTGCTTTCTCAGCCTCTATTCTTTCTGTAAGATCAGTGCCTACGTAGAGGTGAGTACACAATGCTTCCAATTCTGCCAAACTCTTCAGAAGAAAAAAAGGCAGTTAACATTTGACTTGAATGAAAAAATAAGATAAACACATTAACCACAGAGAACAAGAGGTGCAAAAATAGCTATATACATTAATCCAACACAGTCACTGAACTTCAATGACTCACTGAGATACAGCAGCAAACAAAAGAGGTACATCTCCTTCTTTCCAAGTTTTTATAAACTGATAGCTACACAATATAGGAGTATATATAGGAGCTGGAAAGATGGCTCAGCAGTTAAGAACACTGGTTGTTTGCAGAAGACCTGGGTTCCAATCCCAACACCCACATGGCAGCTAACAACCGTCTAGAACTCCAATTCCAGGGGACCTGACAGCCTCTTCTGTCCTCTGAGGGCACTGCACAACATGGGTGCACTTATTTACATGCAGGCAATACACACATACACATAAAATAATAAAATATTTTTTAAAAAGAAGGCAGGACTTGGTTCTCTACTTCTATCATGTGGATTCTGGAGACCAAACTGATGAAGCTTGGCAGCAAGTGCCTTTCTTTACGCACTGAGCCATCTTGCTGGCTCCAATAAACCACATTTTAAACATTTCTGGCACCTGCACTAGTCCAAGAAATCCAGATTACTACTACATATTACTGTTCATGATATTAAAATGCACAGGAAATATATAACTCATAAATGCATATGAATTCTCTTTTCTCCAGGGTAAGAAAGACAAAAATGAAAAGGGTTGCCTTTTTCATGCTCAACCTCAGAGCTTTTCTTAATTTAATAAATTTGGAGACCAAATTTTAGAATTAATAATGCCCTAAACAATTTAACAAATTAATCCTGTTGTGTTGCATTCATCTAAGCCTAAAATTCTTTGAAGTAGATCTTAATGACAAAAGACCTAAGCCAGAAGAAGTGACAAGACCTCTTTGACAAAGGGCAGGAAAACTAGAAACAAAAACTGAAAACTAGTACCAGTGCCTAACTTATTGTTTCATTTGGAGAATTAAAGGAATTAGAGGTGTACACACAGCATACGTTAGAGAGGCTTACTACTGTTAGCTTATAATAACACTGTAAGGGGTGAATTATATCCCATGAAAGAAAGGTCCAAGTCCTAAAACCCAAGTACCTATGAATATAATCTTATTTGGAAATAAAGCCTTTATAAATCCTTGTTAAGGATAAAATCTGAGATTAGGAGTTGGCCCTAAAGCCAACTGTAAATCCAATTAGTGGTATCTTTATAAGAAGGAAGAACATGGTGGCACATTCCTATAATCTCTCTACTCCCCTATAATCCCAACATTCAAGAGGCTGAGGCAGGACGATGAGGAGTTCAAGGCAAACCAGGGCTGCATAGGGAATCTCTCTCTCAATAAAACAAACAAAAAATCCTTTTCTGACAAGCGGGAGGTGCTGGCATCCTTTCCTGCAATATGGTCTGCCCTACAACTACACACAAGACTGGTCATGGATCTAGAACATTCTTTACATCAATGCACTAGATACACATGGGAACATGTGAGTGCCCTTCTGAGAATTTTAAAATGTTATGAAATTTGAGTGTAATATGTTGAGTTCCAAACAATACTGAATGTTCTTATAGGTACTAGATGTTCACTTCCCTTAAAATATTATTTGCATCTCTTACAAAACTCCTTGGCAAAGGTAACTCTCATGAACACAGAAGTTGGTAATTATGCTCTTAATGTCATTATCACCATTTATACTTCTTAAAAAGTGCTATTTTCTGAAAAGAAAAGTAGAATGGGAAAAGGAAAGGAAACGGGAGTGGTGCATCTCAAACACGGGGAAAAGGGCGACGGGAAGACAGGTGAAGACTGGAGTGAAGCATCTAAAACCAAGGAATGCCAAAAAGTTGCCAAAAAGCTATCAGAAGCTAGGGCAGAGGCCTCCAGAAGGAACCAAAGCCATCTGCCCTTTGTTTCAGCTTTCTGGTCTTGAGAACTGTGAGAATAAATTCATGTTTTAAGCCACTCCATCTGTGTCAATTTGTTACACAATATCTAGAAAACTAATTTTAAAAAATAAAAATATTAATTATTTGACACCTAATTACCTAAGTAAATCTATTTGGAAAGATTCCGTAAAAGTTTGCAAAATTATTTCCTTTGCTTTACTGATTTAATGGACTTCAAGAGAGAAAAAGACTGAAGTATAATTAGTGTTTAGTCAACATTACCAATCACCCTTTTTCTCCAAAGATATTTCAAATTATTAACAAATGAAAAAAGGTACAATATTAAAAGGGAAAAGTTTGAACTTTCTCTTATAAAAGATTCAAAGAGAACATCATGTTTTCTTTTGCTGTAATGATAAACTTTTTCAGACAAATGGATAAAGACCCTTGCCCTGGTAAAGTGGCATCATTTAGACATGGCTCAGCAAGCAATTTTCTGAAAATCAGCACTTGATTTTCCAGAGACTCTATCTATAAAGATATTTATTTTTCACAGACTGATAAATTTTCATCTTAGTTTTATAAATTGATGTTTGAGAATATGATTAATGCAAAAACATATCAGAAATAGAGCCTGTCCCCATTTATTGACAGGTTTGGGTTATTAAAGCTTCTACAAGGCTTAATATCAACAACAGAAGTCCACATAAGAAAAACGAGACATTTCTCCAAAAGTAACCGACAAATATGAACAGAAAGCAGTCAACTGTCATACCACACTAGATAATGATAGAATCATGCCTTCATTAATAAAATTCTTCCTAGTTGGATGCAGTTGGCACATGCCTTTGATCCCTGGACTCGGGAGGTGGAGGCAGGTGAATCTCTCTGAGTTTGAGGCTAGCCAGATCTACACAGTGAATACTGAGACAGTCGGGCTACATTGTAAGACCTTGCCTCAAAACAAACAAAAATCTTCCCAACTTTATGGACTTATTTTGATCTTTGTATTTGACATACAGTTAGACTGGACCCCAAATGATGTGATTTCTTTCTACACAGCAAGTTTCACATACATATCTATAAATAGGTAAATGCTAAATAAAAGACAGGGGGGGAAAAGGCTATACATTGCATGACACTTTGTTAACAGAAAGGAGGTCACTGATTTCCTGGTTCAGTGGAGAGGACAGAAGAATAAGGAAGGGAAGAGGGAGGGGGACAGGAGGAATAACAAAGGGGCATAAGACCACAGGGAAACTTTCATAGGTGAAGGTGTTATGGGTATTTTCATATTCTTGATTTCAGTGACAATTTCATAGATGTATACATATGCCAAAACTCATTCAACTGCAGATATATATAATATATAACATACATATATATCATATATGATATATATATAGCCAATTATATTTCAATAAAGCTAAAATAGGGAATAATTGTTCCAGGGAGAAATTTTTATTAAGAATTTTTAAAAACAGATAAACCTCAAAAATCCCACTTCATGGGACTGGAGATATGGCTCAGTTGTTAAGAGCACTGGCTGCTCTTCCAGAGGACCCAACATCCACATGGCTAACAGTTTTCTGTAACTCCAGTTTCAAGTGAGCTGATGCCCTCTTCTGGCCTCTGAGGCATTGTATAACATGGGTGCACTTACATGCAGGTAAAACACTCATACAAATAAAATAAACTATCTTTTAACTCTAACTCCACCTGAATTTAAAGTTCTTTTCTGTTACTTCCCTATGCCTTCCTCAATTAAGTGTTGCTGTTGTGGGCTTATTTTTTGTTTGTTTGTTTGCTTGCTTGCTTGTTTGTAGCCACAGCTGGCCTGGAACTCACTAAGAAGACCAGGCTGGCCTAGATCTCACAGAGATCTGCCTGAGTGGCTTGGAATTAAGCTTCCTAACTGCCATTAGTAGAAACTGCCTTCATTTTGAAGCTACTTGTTTCCCACAAACTTTGTTCCTTCCTGATCTGTTTCCTGAGCTTATCTGAAGGCTTATTACTGGGCTCTTAGAACTAACTCTTCAACAATGACTTGGATATTAAGTTATGCAGAAGAAACTGCAGTTTTGAACTGATTTTTAAATTATTGTAACTAGGCTCAAACACAACTTTATTATCAGTATAGGAACCATTACAATCAACACATTCTTGCCAACAAGAAATAAGTTTGCTCATTCCAATAGCATAAAAACCTGCACTTTGGAGGCTGGGCGTGGTGGGGCACGCCTTTAAACCAGCACTCGGGAGGCAGAGGCAGGTGGATCTCTTTGAGTTTGAGGCCAGCCTGGTCTCCATAGTGAATCCAGGACAGCTGGGGCTACAGGGAGACCCTGTCTCAAAAAGACCAAAAAAAAAAAAAAAAAAAAAAAAACCCTGCACTTTGGGATTCAAAAAATTCTTGGAATGCAATTTCTATATCCTGTTGGTTGCAGGAATGTTTTTCACTGTAAAAAATTGTCAAGGTAATCGAAAAAACTGTAGTACACTGGCAAGAGATCAGCTGAATATAGTGGATGAGGCAAACCTCCATAGCCCAATTTGTTCAACTTTTGAAGCTTTGGTCGTGTGACATGAGGCCCCAGTGTTGTCCTGGAGTAGTGGGCCCTTTCTGAAAGTTGACCAAGGCCAGCAGCCTCCTGGCCTTGCAGTTTTCAATGTGTCTCACCAATGTGCTGAGCACATTCTCAGATTTAACAGTTTCTGGGGGATTTGGTGTGTAGTGAATCAGACTCACAGCAGACCACCCAACAATGACCAGGACCTTTCTGGTGCAAGTCTGGCTTTGGAAAGTGCTCTGGAACTAGAACTTCTCAGTTCAACGAATGAGTTAGTCACCAGCAGGTGTCATATAAAACCTTTTTGTCACATGTCACAATCCAATCAAAAAATGGTTCATTGTTATGGCAAAGAACAAGAGAAGACAATTCAAAATAACAATTTCTTTTTAGTCTTCATGAGGAAGCCACTTAACTGAACTTGTTCACCTTTCCAATTTGCTTCAAAAACCAAATAACCATGAATGGTCAGTGTTACATTTTAGGCAGCTCCTCCTGTAGTTTTAAGAGGATTAGCTTTGATAA